TGGAGATTGTACATCTGTCTAGAAATATCTGTTTTAGGCTATCGGTGGAGGATAGCTATGATTGTTGTAGAAATTGCATGAGGATTAGGTGAATTAAAACTAATCTCTTATCCGTTGTTATTGAATACGGTTATGTTTTAATACATTGTAAATGTATGATGTTTGGGAGAAGAAAGTGGATGTACTCCATGTTTGGAAGAAGAAAGTGGATGGACTCCATTAAATTAAGTTGGTCTGTGTGTCCAGGATAAAAGTCCTAAAAATAGCACGTATACATGGGTGCTGATTCCCGCGGACAAAATAACTGTAAAATGGCAAATGGAAGTGTTGTATAACAGCTGTGTTGATTAGAGACCCACTGAGTTGTACGCTTAGTTTGATTGTCTAAATATAACGAAAAATGATTTATAAATTGAGATAAAATGGATTGAGATATAAAACTTGGCATAGCATGATTTTGTAGAAGAATTATAAATGATTTTATTACAGGCATTGTAGATGTACATCATCTTATATCTTTATTAAGATTCATATATTATGTTAAATTATATTTACTGGGCTTTGGCTCACCCTATATGGGAAAACCATTTCAAGTGTTGGTGATATGCCTCCGCCAAGGCAATAGCTTAGAGGGATTTGGAGCAATGGCTTCTCTTTTGTTGTATTTGTTTTGTACAACCGAGGGTTAGAAATGTATTGGACCTAAAAGTCCACTTTTGTTGTAACCAAGAATCATCCCGCAGGGCATCTATTATTTGTTTGTTTTTTAGTTCTCATCTCATGTGAGAATATATGTTATAGATTTAGCGATAGACTTGTAAATGTATAATCGCATATATCACCCTTTTGTATAATCGAATCTCATGTAATAGAAGAACATTATACTCTAATTCATTCTGTCTTTACTTATCGTGTTAGATGATTTACTGTATTTATTTCGAAGCGTTACAATTGTTGTTGACTAAGGTGGCAGGTGAAGCTTGCTGATGGCAGTTGGAGATAGATAGTGACGACATTAAGGAAGTAGGGTAATAAAATTTCACTAAGGGTACTTTGGTCCAAAAAAAATCTTATTGTCGGTTAGGCAAGAGATAGCAAGTTACAATTTATGTCTCTGTAGGACATGTATTTTTATTTCTATGAATTTTCTTAAACTAGCAAATAGTTTTTAGTTGGTCTTTTTTTAAAAAAAAAAAAAACTTTATTGGGAAAGCACACTACTTAAATATTGCACATTCAATAATAGGTTGTCCAATAAAGTATATCAAAGTAAAACATAGATCCCAAAAAGAATAAAGGAAACATCAACACAAGCAGGATAGGAGTCTTCATATAAAAAAAAAAGAAAAAGAAAAAAGAGATATTATTGCAACAAAAAAAAATAAAAAAAAAATGATCACCCCCAACCAAACCATATAAAAATTAATCTTATGAAAATATACACAAATAAGTCGTTTTTTTAAAAAAAAAAAATAATAATAATACTAAAAAGAAAAAGAAAAAAAAAAGCATCGGAAGCTTCACTTGTTAACCAAGTAAGTAAAACAAAAGGAGATACTTCTCCGTTTCTATTTTGCAAAAAAAATCCTCTACTTTATACCTTCTTGAAAATTTATACTTTTCCCACCCACAAGTTAAGGATAAAAAATGCCCCATGGCATGGCCTCTCACAAGGGTAAGGCATCTTAGGATTTATTTGGGAAGTAGTTGTTTTAGGAGTTTTTTAGTTAAATTGTGAAGTAAAAGAAATTAAAGTGTTTAGAAATGATTTTTTGATTTTATATATATATATATATATATATGCGCAAAAGATATGCAAAAAATAGAATGAATATGAATAAATCTTTAATTTTTTTGTATCAATTTTTTACTTTTGACCTTTAAAATTTTTAATGACTTTTTAATTTTTTTTTTTGGTTAAAATGTTCAATTCCCAAACAAGCCCTCTAGAGCTTTGGATATATAGATGAGAGCTTGACTTATTCTCTAGGAAGGGTAAATTTGTGTAGATGCTTTTAGCCTTGGTTTGGCATTTATTTTGGGACTAAAAAATCACAAAAAGACAAAATTAACTATAAAAATTAATAAGATAAAATATTATTTTTTACTCATAATTATTACACTTTTTCTCTCACAAAAGTCAAAAAAAATTTAAAAACAAAATCAAACGAAACTAAAAAGTGTCAACACAAAAAAATTGACTATATTAACCAACGCCAAACAAATCTTAAAGTTAACTATCTGTAGGTCTCTCAACCTGTTTGCTTACAACCCTTTTATAGCTATTTGGTATGCCATTGTCGGTCGATAATCTCTTCTTGATCAGATGATCAGTCTTTTGTCAAAGATTACTGGCCAACTTGTAATCACTATCTTATCGTTAGATCTCTGCTTATCAAACAGTTGGCTCGCTATCAAAAGTAACGGACAACTTGCATCGGATCTTAGTTGATCAGACAGATATCCTTCTTCCAGAGGTCATTGCGATAATGGACAACTTGCGCTTGTCTTTGGCCGTTGGATCTACCCCGATCAGATAGCCATCTTTCTGCCAAGAATCGGTCTGCTTTAAGCTTGATTCCGTCTGATACGCTCGATCAATCTGGTCAGCTCTTGTTTATTTTGAGCTTTATTCATTTGGGCTTACCTGGTTTCTTTGGACTCTTATATTTATTGGGCTAGGTTTTGATTTCCACCCTCCATATATATGAAGATACAGGGAGAAAAAAGTTTTTGTTTTGGTAACTTGGTAGGTTACTGACATGAGACTCTTTCTGAACTCATTATATAATATATATTTAGAATAAATTACAATACATTCTTTGAAATTTACTTAAAATACGAATTATCTCGTATGATTTTAAAAATTACAAATATTTCTTTAGAATTTTTTATTTAACAGAATTAACAAAAAATAATAATAATAATATTCTAACTATTCTTCTATACAATAATAAAATTACATGAATTGTTATTTAAAATTATTTTTAAAAACAGTTAATTGACTTGATGATTTATTTGTAAAAGAAGTTATTTTTTATGCAATTAAAATAAAAACTTGAAGGGGCGTGATATAATTGTAGAATCATAGGGGGCAATCTGTATTTTAAGTAAATTTCAAGAGATGTATTTATAATTTACCCATATATTTATATATATTTGAATGAGTGCTACTATTAGCACTCCATTTCTTATTTTGGACTCCTACTTATAAATTTTAAAACTTTTAAAATTTCTTTCCTTCCCTTAAATAATATCAAAATTATCTTTATGAAAACTTCACCTCCACTCAAATGCATACCCCTGTACCTCGGACCATTATCTCCCAAAATCCTAACAAAAAAAACACTCCACAACCCATTCTCTCTCTCACGACGGTAAAAGAAAAGTGTTTCTAAAGTGAATCGATCGGTATAAAGAACTTATTCTCTACGATATTCACTTTTTCTTCGCATTAAGTGTGTATGTCTTCCTTCAATTCCATTCATTTCCTTGATCAACCCAAAACACAAGAGATAGATATATATACAAATCCGCATTTTACTCAATCTCAATTTCGTTCCTCCTCCATCCCCCAAAGTCTCTCTCATCTCTCTTTCACTGAGAATGTTCGGACCTGTTCCCGAACAAATAAGTTATATTCGAGCCTTCCTGGACAAATAACTAATATTTCAGTCGGTGTTCCCGAACTTGATAAAACGAAAACTTCTAAAAATATAAACAATTTTAACACTTCAAAATATATCAAATTTCCATATTCAGATATGTGTTCTCAAACAAATAACAAATGTCCGGGCCTATGTTTCCGAATTTTAGTCATATGTTCGAGAGTTCAGTACCGAAAAAGATACATACAATTTTTGCTATCTTTGTCATGTTTTTCAAGAATTTTGCCCTTACAAGACCAACCTCCTCCGAGCTGAGAGTACCATCAAAACTATGAATCTCTTCTAAACTTGCATTGTTGTACTCTTCTCATCTCATGAAGTTTTGGTTGTCGCACTCATTGCCATTGCCATTGCCATTGCCATTGCCAGAGAAGTGTGTGTAATCGAATGTTTGCCACCGTTGCCGCTAGAATATCACCGCCAGAGGATTCTCAAGGTTTTGAGGGCAGAATTTGGAAAAGATGGATGGGTAATGATGGAGTTGGGTGCTTTCATAAACTCTATCTAATGATTTAGTATGTGTGAGCTTAATTATGAGATGGAGTGTCCTAAAATGATTGATGTTCTCTTTATTGTAATAAAAAAAATAAAAAAATGAAGGGTTCAAAATAATAAATAGAGTACTAATAACAACACTCATTTCAATTTATTTAGACTGATTATATAAATTTTTAATTGATCCCAACACTACTTATATATAATTTTCTTTTCAATTGAGCCCCACATGATTTTTTTTTTTTTCTGCTAAATTTTTCCCCAATGATTTTTGCTGCTAAATAGCAATAAAAAAATATTCAGCCTATTAGAATTGAAAGTAAAAATTGATATGCCAAGAACCATAACAAAATGGAGTTTGTTTAAACCATATTGGGGAAATTATACCAAGAAAAATTCAGGGTTTGACCTTTATAAATTAAATTTGAATTTTTAATCTTATCAATCTAAATTCTAAACTTTTTATTTGTTTTCAATTTAAATCATTTGTCTAGTTTTTTTAAATAAAACCGACAAAAAAAATTGATATTTTAGTCATTAAACTCTATTAAGCCACTGCTAATTTTGTCTCACTTTCAAAATTTGTAAAGTGGGTTCAGAAATTAATCAAAGTCAGTTTGTCATTGAATGTATTTTTCAAAGCATTGGACTGATTGATCAATATATATATATATATATTTGTCTTTTTGTTTGGCAAACAAAAAAGAGATTTTATTCATAACAGAAAAGAAACCATCCCACATGGCTCCCATTATTACACAGTTTATCTTATCTAAACCATATAGGTTTTCATGATTCGCATGACAAGAAACAGGACTTGAAGCAAATCTAGGAAAATTAGACAAAAGGACTAGAAAATATAGGTTGTACCACAGTGAGTACAAGCAACAAAAGAGCAGCAAGAAACGAGATGAGTGTCCATGGAGTGTTGAAATATTCCCGTCTTAAGGTCGCCAACCATATGTTCCAACTCTTCCTGGAATGCTTGTTCACATTGTAATAAACTTCATGGTAACCCAAAAAAGGTATCACGACATTGTTGCCGAGCTTGCTCAACATAGTGGAAACCACCGCATTGTCACCTAAAAGGTTATGAATAATTCCTTTGTGACTCAGTATTTCGACATCTTTTGAGGAGTTCACGAGGAAATCCATGAACTTCATATACACAGTGAAATAATTCCTTGAAGTATCATGAACAGGAAGGTAATTCTCGTATGCAAGTAAATTTCTAAGAAAAGACTCTGTATCGTCGTCAACTTTTAAAGTTGGAATTTCAATTGTCCCATTTACAAACTTTATGTTGAACAAACTCCCTTCCTCGACCTTCTTGAATTTGATCCCAGCTTCATGAAGCTCTGTCGCAGACTTTAGGAACTCTTGTTTTATTGGAACATTGCTTTGGGATACCATTGAATGAAATTGATAGCAACAACAATAATGCACCAGGCCTAGAAGATGTTTGATGTCAAGGTTCCCCAGATCTCCAAAAGGAGGTACTAAAAGTTCACACGGTGTTTCCCCTTTGAAAAATGCACAGGACATGCAAACGAAGCTGTTTAGTGAGGCTGCAGGATTTTGGGGCATGTTGAACAAACTTCAAGAGGGCAAAGAATGGAAGTTGATTTTCAAATAACATTAAATCACGCCTTATGCTCGATTGAATATGTGCCAACTCGAAAATGGGGTCATCCCTTCTGAGTTCCTCATTCCTATACTTTGTGAAATAACTGGATGATGAAGCAACTGTCACGAAGCATCATTTCCACAAACTCATTTGAATCAAGGCGAATGGGATCTGCATAAAACTTGCGTGCTTTTTTTTGGGAATCTCGCATCACCACAATGTAGTTTTCCACACTGGCTCTATTTCTCCTTTCAAGAAACTGTTGCAAGTAACGTAATTTATGATCTTCCATTGGTTTCAATTTATCCTTACCATGGTGATAAGGACCAATAGCAACTACTTCTGGTTCATAAAGCTTCCTTGCTTTGATTGCGTAGTGGATCACTTACTTTAAAGACGCAACACTCAGATGCTATAGGATGTAACTTGGCAAGCTTTTTATCTAGAAAAATGGTTTAGACCTCTAAAAAGAGAGCTCTAATAGAACATTAATTTGTCTTTTTCTTCTTTATTTTTTTGTCTTTTACTTCACTGTTTTTTTTTTTTACTTCACTATTTTTTTTTTTTTTTTTAGGTTGCCAGCTCATTAGAGCTGCACTGTAGCAGCTCTAATTAGAGCTCTCCAGCAGCACTCTTTTATCTATATCGATCAAAGGATCAGCACTTGGCTCTGACATTGTACTGTGTCTGTCTTGGACAAAATTTCAAAATAATAGTAGAACTTTCATGTCTTTTTCAATTAAAAAAAGTCAAAGAACTAACTAAAATAATCATATTCCCAAGCCAGACCAAAATGCAAATTAAGACTTGAGTTTCTTAAAACACAATGGACAAGACAATAAAATACAATTTTCAATGTGGAATACTCTTATAACAACAAAATTAAAAAATAAACTTACATCCGCTAAGGTTTAGCATAATTTCGTAAACCTCCCTGGTGCTTTCAATAATAAGACTGACTTTCCTTATTTTTAAAACTATTATCAGGATTTTTCTACTATTAATCCCTCATTAGATCGTTTAACGAAATTTGTTGATCTGATACATTATAAGGCGTAAAATGCCAAGAGCACCTTAGTTACCTTATCTATTCAATGGTAAATTTCACCCATCTCCACTAAAGTTTTGCATATGAATTAACAAACACCCATATTTTAGCAATGTTGAACAAAATTCTTACATTCCATATAATATTAAACAAAACCTCTAAATTGTTAAGATATTATTAAAATACTTAACAAAAAAAAAAAAAAAGAATTTTCATTGATAAGGTGGGTTGACTAAAAGGTAAGATTTATCCTTATATTAGTAAGATTGTAAAAGTTATTTACATTGATGCATAAAAAATTACAAATTCAAATCATAAACAGTGTCTTCAAAGAGAGTTGAGTACAAAATCTCTATAACCTTAATAATTTCAGTTCTCAAAAGGGTTCTGATTAATTATCATATATATATAGTAGTAGTATTTTTCCATTACTTAGACGGCACATTTTAAATTCAAATTTTTATTTAAAAATTATTCAAGAAATATCAATATGTGCCTTAAATATGTACAATTATTTTCGATGAATCATTATTTTTAAAAAATAATACTATTTATCATTTAACATGTGTCAATTTATATTTTAAAAATTTAACAAAAAAAAGTATTGAGTTTTATTATTTTAATCCGTCACTATCAAATTAGACAGTACACGTGTATGTAAATCATTAAATTATGTACAGTGGTTTTAATTATTTGAGCTGGCACTATATATTAATATTTGAATCTTATAAATAGATCAATTTCATCACTCTAAAAATGAGGGTATTTCTATCCATGTAAAAAGTGTCTTGTTTTTTTAAATCAAATGTGTTTGGTTTGAGTTTGTTGGATTAAATTTTTTGATAATTGAGTTTTTTGGTTTTCGTATTTTTTTATTTTTAGTGAATAATTTTAAAATTTTAAACATTTTTTTTACTTTTTTAGATGCACATTACTTAGATGTATCTAAAAAGTAAAAAAATTATAAAAAAATATTTAAAAAATTAATAAATACATAAAAATACAAAAAAAATGTACTGAATTCTGATATATTTTTTTTTTGTATTTTTGGTATTTAGTGAAATTTTAAAAGGTTTTTTACACAATTTTTTTTACTTTTTAGGTATATTTATGTTAGGTATGTCTAAAAATTAAAAAAATCGCTTAAAATATTTAAAAAATTCAGTAAAAACAAAAAAAACAAGGAAAATAAGAAATTAGAATTTTCTGAAAAGTGTTTTTCGAAAACTCTAACTAAACAAATCAAAATTTTAGTATTTTATACTCTATATACAAATGGAGGTAGTTAATATCATCAATGGCGGAGCCAAAAAATTAAGATAGAAGGGGCACTTTATAATTTTAATTATTTTTGATGATCAATAAATTAATAATAATTTTATAAGCTAAATTTAGGCATAAAAATTTAATTGTTCATTATTAATAGAAACTAATCAAAATTCTATAATAATCTGAAATAACTCAGACGCAATAGTAATGTAAATATGCAATTTTAGCACAAAAAATTACAAATTAAAATTCTTAATTTTAGAAAATAGAAGAAAATCATTTATAGCACAAATCATTATAAAATTTTTATAAGTTTTATTTGATAGAAAAATATTTGAGAGAGAGAGAGAGAGGGTGATTATAAAAATGTGTTTTGAATAGAAATTATTAGATAATCTCAGAATATTATGTGGTATTGATGATATGGTGCTTTCAATATAAAAAATCATAATTCAAACTAAGTGATTCACCTATACATGACCCATGAGTTCTATTTTATTTTATTTTTTAAAAAAAAAAAGAAAAAAAAAAGAAAAAGAAAAAGAGACTAGTTGGGACCAATAATCCGAGATGTCGTTGGTGGCAAGTTGCTAACACTTATGTTGTCCAAAAATCAACGTAAATGTGATTGCTCTATTTTCAACTAATAAAAAAGGATTTATTATGCTGACCCCCATTCAAGTTTGTTGAAATTACAGAGAGTTCCTCTGAAGGTTTTGAAATTACATGGACCTCTCTTATCAGACTTTTTGACTTAACATTGTAAATGAAAATAATTATTTTACTAAATCACGTTTTAGTTCAAGCTGTAAGAATTTATTCTTTATTAGGCGATCACAAATTATATTTTGTTTGGTTTGTAAAAAACAGGTTAAAAGTGATTTAGACATATTAATTGATATGAGCTCAAAATTGGTATTGTAATTTATAAAATTTTGGATTATGGTTCATCTTAGTATATTTATTATTGGGAAAATAATCAATAACTCTTATTTTGCTCTTAAGATTATTAACAAGTTATCATATGATGAGGGACGTGGCAGAGAGAGAGAGAGAGAGAATCAGCTAAAAATGGAAATTTATTTAAATTCCACTAATACTTTCCATGCTCTTATTTTCCTTTTTAAAAAAATAAGGGGCATATTCCATACAAATCTTAATTTATGAATTTATATTTCATTAATTTTTAGACCTTCAAGTCCCATTAAATTTTTAATAGTTGAAATTACCCTTCAAATAATGATTGTCATCATTTATGATTATCTATAAAGGAACATGATAATTTGTCATTTATTTTGATTTTTAGAACTTTAAAACATAAGCTTTCAAATTGAAAAAAATTAAAAAAATAAAATATGTGAAAAATATATATATGTGCAAAAAAAAAAAAAAAAAAAAAAAAAAAACAAATAACAACAACAACAACTAATATTTGTTTTTTGAAAAAATTTTAAAAATTGAATTTTTTTTTTTTTTTTTTGTGTGCAAAACTGAAAATTTTGTATTTATAAAAGATCATGATGATGAACATGATGCTGCCAAAAAAAAAAAAAAAAACCATTAAAAATGAAAATTTTGATAATATTCTAAGTTTTAAAATTAAAAAAAAAACTGATAATATTCTCGATTTTATTAGATAGTTGAATCAAATCAATAAGTAGAAGGGCAAAAACATTTAATCTCATGCTCTATTTTTTATCAGTTAGTGAAACAATTATCTGGAACACTACTATGTATAATTGATAATGTTTTAGTTTTAAAAATTAAAAAAAAAAACTGATAATATTCTCAATTTTACTAAATAGGATTTATTGGTTTAAAAAATTTAGATAGAACATGAGCTGTTATAACATTTGTAAATACGACTTTTAAATAATTAATTTTTAAAAAATAATAATAATATAAACACGGCTTCCAATTTTGCTTTTTATTTTTTAAACAGTAGGATCAGTATAAAAAATCAAAGTTCAAATATGACTTAAAGGAATTTATTGAACTATCAATTGATAAATTAAAAAAAAAATTAAAAATTGAAAGACGATTCAATTTTAGATGGAAGAGAAAGTGAAAGGATTATTACAAGGGAGAAGAAAGAAATAAAATATAAGTTTATGTATATATAACAAATTTAAGAACAAATCACACAAAATATAAAAAATAAATAGAATAATTTGAACAATTTTTTTTTTTTTCTACTGCAAATTTTACTATTTAAGATTATATGACTAAAATTCTTTTATATATGATTAATTATATATGCCTAGACTTAATGCAAAAAACCGAGAGGAAAGTGAGACCAAACTTCTACCTGCGGCCCGCATGACTCACGTGAGTGAGATGTTTATTTTTTTGGCCTGATGCTCTCTAAAGTCACAGTCAACCCTGAGGCCACGATTGTTTCATGGATTAAGTTGGTTGTGATTTGTGGGGATATATTTTCTGGATACCAACACATGGCATGGTGATGCC